TATATTTGAAAAAGTGCCCAAATATATTCATTCTTGAATTACAAACATACATACTGTTAACATTTCAAATGTTCTCTGAAGTTCTCCCTGAGGATATGAGAAAGGAAATGAATAGAGATGGGGCAGTGGTTCTAAACATAAGTGTTCAACAGAGAACAAGTTGTAAATTGATACCTCAACAGTAAGTGGGTTTCCATGATGCTAGTTTAGTTTAGCTAACACCTTGCTACTAGTCATGAAGTTTGGTTCGTCTTCACTAGGATTATTTTGTCCAAATGGGAAGAAATTTAAGAAAGGAAAACCAGATTTCAGACTTGAAACCATACATAGAAATACAGTTAAACCTCATTATTCGTGGATTCTATATTTGCCAGTTTGCCTTCTTGTTAACATTTGTAATAATTTGTAAAAATGTATTTGCTTTCAATTCTTTTGCATATATACCCAGAAGTGGAATTGCTGAATCATATGGTAATTTTCTTTGAGGAACTGCCATACTGTTTTTTGCAGCAGTCGTACCATTTTGCATTTCCATCAACAGTGTACAACATGGATTCCAATTTCTCTACAACTTCACCAACATTTGTTATTTTCTGTAGTTTTGATAATAGCCATCCTAGTGGTTGTGATATGGTATCTCATTGTAGTATTGATTTGTGTTTTCCAAATGATCAGTGATGTTGAGCATCCTGTCATGTGCTAATTGGCATGTTATATCTTCTTTGGATACACAAGTCCTTTCTCTATTTTTAAAATTGAGTTATTTGTCTTTTTGTTAGGGAGTTGTGGAAGTCACATTAGAATGGCTCAGACTGGGAAATTGGCATATGCATCACCTCAAACATTTATTATCAACTCTTTGTGTTGGGAGCATTCCAGATTTCCTCCTCTCGCTATTTTGAAATATACAATAAATTATTGTTAACTGTAGCCACGCTGTTATGCCACCAGACACTAGAATTTATTCCTTCTATCTAACTGCATTTTTGAACTCAACCCCCTTCATACCCACCTCCCCGCTTTTCTTCCTAGCCTCTGGAAACTGTCATGCTACTCTCTACTTTCATGAGACCAATTTTTTAGCTCCCACAAATGAGTAAAAATGTGTGATATTTGTCTTTCTGTGCCTAGCTTATTATTTCACTTAACATAATGTCCTCCAGTTCCATCCATGTTGCTGCAAATGACATAGTTTCATTTTTTATGTCTAAATAATATTCCATTATGTCTATGTACCACATTTTCTTTATCCATTCATCTGTTGATGGATACTTAGGTTTATTCCATATCTTGGCTACCGTGAATAGTGCTGCAATAAACAGGAGTGCAGATATCTCCTCGATATACCAATTTTCTTTCTTTTCGATATATACCTAGCAGTGGAATTGCTATATCATATGGTGGTTCTATTGTTAGTTATTTGAGGAACCTCCATACTATTTTCTGTAGTGGCTGTACTAATTCACATTCTTACCAACAGTGTATGAGCATTCCCCTTTCTCTGCATCATTGCCAGCATTTGTTATTTCCTGTCTTTTTGATAATAGCCATTTTAACTGGGGTGAGATAATATCTCTCATTGTGGTTTTGATTTGCATTTCTCTGATGATCAATGATGTTGAACATTTTTTCATACACCTCTTGGCCATTTGTATATCTTCTCTTGAGAAATGTCTATTCAGATCTTTTGCCATTTTTTAATCTGATTATTTGTCTTTTTGCTATTGAGTTGTTTGTGTTCCTTATATATTCTGGTTATTAATCCCTTGTTGGATGGATTGTTTGTAAATATTTTCTCCCATTCTGTAGGTTGTCTCCACACTTTGTTGATTATTTTCTTTTCTGTACAGGGGCTTTTTTAGCTTCATGTGATCTCATTTGTCACTTTTTGCTTTGGTTGCCTGTGCCCTTGAGGTCTTACTCAAAAAATCTTTGCAATACCAATGTGCTGAAGCATTTCTCCAATGTTTTTTTTTTTTTGAGACAGAGTCTCACTCTGTTGCCCTGGCTAGAGTGAGTGCCGTGGCGTCAGCCTAGCTCACAACAACCTCAAACTCCTGGGCTCAAGCAATCCTTCTGCCTCAGCCTCCCGAGTAGCGGGGATTACAGGCATGTGCCACCATGCCCGGCTAATTTTTTCTATATAGTTTTAGTTGTCCGATTAATTTCTTTCTATTTTTAGTAGAGACAGGGTCTCGCTCTTGCTCAGGCTGGTCTGGAACTCCTGAGCTCAAACAATCCGCCTGCCTCGGCCTCCCAGAGTGCTAGGATTACAGGCGTGAGCCACCGCGCCCGGCCCCCAGTGTTTTCTTGTAGTAGTTTCATAGTTTCAGGTCTTAGATTTAAGTCTTTAATCTATTTTGATTTGACTTTTGTATATGGTGAGAGATAATGGTCTAGTTTTATTCTTCTGCATATGGATATCCAGTTTTGCCAGCACCGTTCGTTGAACAGACTGCCCTTTCCCCAGTGTATGTTGTTGGTGCCTTTTTTGAAAATGAGTTAGCTGTAAATGTGTGGATACATTTCTGGGTTCTCTATCCTGTTTCATTGCTTCTGTACATGTCTGTTTTTATGCCAGTATCATGCTGTTTTCTTACTTCAGCTTTGCAGTATATTTTGAAGTCAGGTAATGTGATGACTCTAACTTTGTTCTTTTTGCTGAGGATTGCTTTGGCTATGTAGGTTCTTTGGTAACTCCAAATGAATTTAGGATTGTTTTTTCAATTTCTGTGAAGAATGTCCTTGGTATTTTAATCGAGATTGCAATGAATCTGTAGATCACCTTGGGTAATATGGATATTTTAACAATATTAATTCTTCCACTCCATAAGCATGAAATAACTTTCATTTTTTGTGTCTTCTTCAGTTTCTTCCATCAGTGTTTTATAATTTTCATTGTAGAAATCTTTCACTTCTTTGGTTAAGCTTATTCCCAGGTATCTTATTTTTTGTATGGGTATTGTAAGTGGGATTGCATTCTTGATTTCTTTTTCAGATTGTTTGCTGTTGGCATATAGAAATGCTACTGATTTTTCTTTGTTGATTTTATATTGTGCAACTTTACTGAATTTGTTCATCAGTTCTAACAGTATTTTGGCAGAGTCTTTAGGTTTTTCTAAATATGAGATAACGTCATCTGCAAACAAGGACAATTTGACTTTTTCCTTTCCAATTTGGATGTCCTTTATTTCTTCCTCTTGTCTAATTGTTCTGGCTAGGACTTCCAGTACTACATTGAATGGAAGTGATAAAAATGGGCATCATTATCTTGCTCAAGATTTTAGAGGAAAGACTTTCAATTTTCTCCCATTCATTATGAGGCTGTGAGTTTGTCTTATATAGCCTTTATTGTTTTGAGATATGTCCTTTCTATATCTAGTTTGATGAGGGTTTTTATCATGAAAGGCTGTTGAGTTTTATTGAATGCTTTTTTGGCATCTATTGAAATGATCATATGGTTTTTGTCCTTGATTCTGTTAATATGATGTGTCATATCATGTGTATGTGGAACCATCCTTGCATGTCTGGGATAAATTCCACTTGATCATGGTGAATAATCTTTTTAATACATTGTTAAATTCAGTTCGCTAGTATTTTGTCGATAATTTTTATGTGTATGTTCATCAGGGATATTGGCCTATAATTTTCTTTTTTTGTTGTGCACTTGTCTGGTTGTGGTGTCAAGGTAATGCTAGCCTCATAGAATGAGTTTGGAAGTATTCCCTCCTCTTTAATTTTTTGGAATCATTTCAGTAGAATTGATATTAGTTCTTCTTTAAATGTTTGGTAGAATTCAGCAGTGAAGTCATCAGGTCCTGGGCTTTTCTTTGATGGAAGACCTTTTATTATTGCTTCTATCTCATTACTTGTTCTTTGTTCAAGTTTTGTATTTCTTCATGGTTCAATTTTGGTAGATTGTATGTGTCTAGGAATTTATCCATTTTTTCTGGGTTTTCCAATTTATTGGCATATTGTTGTTCAGAATAGTCTCTAATGATTCTTTGTATTTCTCTGCCACTAAATAGCTGCTTTGCTTTTAAAACTGCAATTCTTAGCAGTTTTACCCTGTGCTTCTTAAAAATCAGTAGGTGTCTCAAAAGGGAAAGTGGTATGAAGTGTCTGACTTGTCTCAATTTTATTTCCCTTCTTCCTAAAATCTTGGCCTCTCATGTCCTGGCTGCCTTGGTAGCCCTCCAATACCTTTGAACAGCTTTTAAAAATAAATTTTGTCCAGTTTTTCTAGTAGTGTTCAATGGGAAGTTGGTCTGACATAAGCTAGTCCCTCATATCCAGAACTGAGAATCTTTCTCTAAGCCCATGTAAGTCAACCCCTCATAAGGGCCTGACACCCATTGCTGTCCTGAGATTTGGAGGGATTTCTTCCTATATCATTGCCCCAGAATGTTGAATTGTTTCACTGGGTTTCGCAAAGGGCTTATTTGTTTCTTGGATGTTTTCCACCTCAATTCCAGTTAAAATCTACAGTCATTATGTTGTGGTTTTTATTCAGGTAGGTTTAAAAGGGATTGCACACATCCTGCCCACAGGGAGCTCATTAACCAAGTTAACTCTGTGATTTGTATTTGAGTAAAAAGGTGCCTTCGCTAGGAAATAACCTAATGATTACTGCCTTCACTTGTCTGCTAAATTGTATTTGTGTCTTCTAGCTTCTTGAATTTTAGCTAAACTGCATGAAAAATGAATGTGAGAATTCTATATGTAGAATATGGAAGTCTCAATAGTCAGAAATGTGATTCTTTCAGTCCCCTCAAAAGGGGGATAGTTTATAATAAATGCTTTTAAAGCCCTATAATAAATTTTGGCTAAGCAGTGCAAAATTTAATATTACTAAACCTAATTGGAAGTCTCATGGGGTTGGAAATACTCTTTTGCACTGACTCCTGCCAAGGAATGGAAAAGAGATTCATTTTAAAGGCTTCCTGGGAGAGGATTGAAGACATAACGTTCTTGATGTTTCGTTTTTTTCTCAGCAGTTCACGAGAGCAGTGATTCCCAGGCTTTCTCAGCAACGTACCCTGTCTCCTGACATACTTACCACCGAAGGGGAATTTTCCTTTTTACAAGCAGAAAATTTTGGTGGCGAGTTATCCAACAACAAAAGGCCTTCTGGCTATTAAGATAGGTAAGTCATTTGTGTAGAGGATGGGGAGGGAAGGTGACTTATGGGAAAAGTGCTAAAGAATATTTCATTTATTGTGAGTGGGACTCTAGAAATGTCTAGTATGTATTTCACTAAACCTCAAGTTAAATGATCCTTGGAATGGATGATCTAATTCTAGATTTAGTTCTCAACTCTTCTGCTTACCAGCTGAGTCAACTTGGATAAGTCACTTCAATTCTCTGAACCCCCAGTTCTTTCATCTATAAAAGAAGATTGCATAGGAAAAGGCTTTATAAATGAGAGAATGGGAGGGGACATGTAACCTAAAAATGCAATTATCATTGTTTATTGTTTTGTTGCTGTTATAAAATTCTGTGGAGTGGTTAGTGGCCGTGCATCTCGTGGTGTTTTTGGACCATAGAGCTTGGTACTGCGAGTGTGGGGACTTTGCCTTCTGAGTACTGGGAGTGGGAGGCATCCCCACCTGATTTTCTTGTAAGAAGAAAATACCATTTTTTGGCTGCAGATAGATGCCACTTATTTTTTGCACATTGAGGGGAAAGATGGAAGCTAAAGATAAGAACAAAGGAAAGAAAATAACTACTTGTTAGTTATTAAGAACAACTACCTATTATGACAACTACCTGTTAATAAAAACTACCCATTAGTTGTATTTGTTGTTATGGTAAGCATTGTGTTAAATATTTGGATACATTATTTCATTAAATCCATACACCAAGCCTTGTAAGGTGGGTGTTACCCCTACCATGACATTTCTCTCAGGTGATGGGCCCCCTTAGAGAATCCCTTAAAAGAAAATAAAAACCACTCTGGTTTGTTATAATTTGGGAAATCTTATTAGATTTTGGGAATTTTAAGGTTTTGATTTTTTTTCTAATTTTTTTACAATGTACATGCACAGCTTCTGTAATAATAAGGTGGTTATTTAAAAATGAATAATAGGTTTTCGGAAGGTTCTTTGAGAAGCACCAGTGAACCAGGTACTGTGTTAGGTGCTTGTTCCCTTCAGTGCGCAAAGCAGGGGCAGCACCCTGCCCTTGTGCAGCTCACTGTTCTAGCATGCAGGGAGACATAAGAAAAAGTACACATCATAAACACATCTTACTAGTGTAGTAGAAGCCAATGGGAGCAAGGAAGAAAGAAAAAGTAGAGCAGAGTAAGGGGGTTGGCAGTGCTGGGTGGGCTGGGTGTCCAAACTGCAGTGTTAAATAGAGTGGCCAGAGTGGGCCTCCCTGAGGAAAGACAGGAAGTCAGGAGTTCGCCCTGGGCATGTTCCAGGTAGAGGAGGCGGCTGATGCAAAGGCCCTGGGGAGGGGACAGAGCTGGGGTGTTCGGGGACCAGCAGGAGGCCAGTGTGCGGGAGCAGAGTGAGTGGAAAAGTAGTGACAGGTGAGTTTGGAGAGGCAGTGTCAGATCCAGAGGAAATAGTGACATTTCCTTCGCTTAGATGCATAAGAAAAGTTTCCTTGTTTTCTTCTTGTCTACCTGGTTTATTCTAAGTGTGTTCCCTCTGTAGTTAAAATATATCCCCCACCCGACACACAAAATAAATATTAATACGTTAGACCTCCACTACCATAGCAGTTTGCTAGAGCTGCCATAGCAAAGCATGACAAAGTGGGTAGCTTACAACAATAGAAATTTGTTGTTGCATGGTTCTGTAGGCTAGAAGTCCAAAATCAAGTTAGGCCGTGCTCCCTCTGAGACATGTAGGAGGAAATCCTTCTTTGCCTCTTCTTAGCTTCCAGCGGTTGTCACAATCTTTGGTGTTCCTCAGCTCGCAGCTTCTTCACTTAGTCCCTGCCTCTGTCATCACATGGCGTTCTCGCTGTGTGGCTGTGTCTAAACCTGGCCATCTTCTCCTTGTAAGGATACAAACATATCGGACTTAGGGCCCAGCCTACTCCAGTGTGACCTCATCTTAACTAATTACACCTGCAATGACCCTATTTCCAAATAATGTCACATTCTGCAGTACGAGGAGTCAAAACTTCAACTTACCTTTTTGGGGGACACAATTCAACCTGTCATAGCCACTGTAAATAATAAACAAAATAGATATTATTATTTTATTTAATTTTTTATTTTTTTTTAGAGATATGGAGTCTCACTCTGTTGCCCAGGCTGGGGTACAGTGGTGCAATCACAGTTCATTGCAGCCTCAAACTCCTGGGTTCAAGCGATTCTCCTGCCTTGGCCTCCCAAAGCGCTGGGATTACATGCGTGAGCCACGGTGCCTGCCCAACCATAGATATTGTTATTCCCATCTTACAAGTGAATAAAGAGGCTTAGAAAGTCCACGTTTCACCAGGCCACGCATATACTACTGTGGCCATGCTACCAGGATGGAGCTGCCAGGGAACTGGCCTCGCCCAGAGCGGGACTTGCACACGATACAGCATCGCAATCCTTGCCCATGTTGCTCAGCCCCTAGACAGCCCCACACCCATGCTCTGTCTGGGCTTTGCTGTTGCAGGGCAAGTAGAGGCTCCCTCCGTAAGCCCCTCCCCCTTTTGCATGTCATCCCCTAGCATGACACACATAGGAAACAGATGCTTTTTCCCTCTTTTAGGAATTTTTCCAGGAAAATAATACTGTAATTTCTGTGGTGTGTAGAACGTTTTGTGACAGAGCCATGTGATTTTTTTCTCACACAACATAGAAAAAAACATACATTTATATATATGGCTGTGTGAATCAGTTGGCTTATTGCAATAAAATTAGGGCATTTTGAAAACATTTAATATGATTTGCTTTTTTATTATATTTAAAGATTTCCTCTAAATATGAAGCTGTCTAGCCATTCGTGAGTCTAAACCAACACTAGAACCTTATTTTAGGTGTAGGCTTGAGGGATACACTTGAAAAATGGAAGGATACACCGAAACAGAGCTGAACGCTTTTCCGTGCCCTAAGAGGGCCCAGGTGAAGAGTGACGCCCCTGGGCTAGGCCAAAGGTGGGTGAAGCAACCAAAGGCAGTCGTGCCAGGGGAATGTCTAAATCCTGGATTTAGCAAGCGCTCACAGCTAAGCCTTAAGTCGAGAGGTGAGACAAAGGCGTGGCAGGAAAACAATGTCCTAAGGTCAAAGCCCAGAGTTTAGAGATACATCAACATGTAGAGCGTGAGACACAGTGAGTGGGTCAGAAGATGGGTTGGGGAGGGCTCGAGAGAGGCCTGTTGGTCCCCGCACCGTGTGGGGGTGAAAAGGGAAGGTGTTGGGTGAGACGGGGCAGCCACCACCTGCTTTTCCTGACCGTGCGTTCAGCCACGCTGTTTGTTACATCGTCTTGTGGTTTCCTTTCGGGGTCCCTTCTCTTTGACCTTTGCTCTAAATGTGTTTTTATCCCCCCTAAGCTTTTGGGCTTCTCTTTGCACTTTACAGCAGATTGGTTTGCATCTGTGTGTTGAAGCGTATGTTCTTCTTAGTATAAAAAAGAAAAAAATAAAAGATCTGCCTCTTTTCTAAAGATCCTCCTGCTCTCTCTGTTAAAATTTATTTTCTTTGATCCTGAAAGCATGTGGAAATGGCAGGGTCTTCACATTCTTCTACTGAATTAAAATGACCTGTAGTCTTCATCTGATGTCACCACCACCCAATGCCGCTCCCCGGGACACAGCTCAGTCATGCAGGTCTGGTCGGGGTTTTAGAGTCTGGTAAGCACAGGTCTACTCAGTTGACTTTGGATTCCGTAGCGGCACCTTGTAACTGCAGATAAACAGCTGCTGCTCCTGCTACTCCTGCAGCTGTTGATTGTGAAGTTAGACCACGTGGGCCAGGCACATCAGGGCCGTTGGCTCGAATTACTTCTCTGCGGCAGACATTCAGGGAAATACTAGGCTTTTCACAAGAAAGCCCAAAAGTTGACAAATACTAGAACTTAAAGACCTATTTAAGCCCTCTTATCACTATGGAATGGGAACAAAATCCTCCTTGTTTACCGGTAGTGGTAGATTATTGAACAATGAGAAATAATGAGCCCTTTAATTATAACACATTTTTAAAATATCAGGTGAAATTCACACAGCATAAAATTAACCATTTTAAAGCGGACAACTCAGTGGCATTTAGTGCATTCGCAATGTTGTGCAATCCTCACCTGTGTCTCATTCCAAAATATTTTCATCAGCCCCACATAAAACTCTGTACCCATTAAGGGGTTACCCCCCATTTCTCCCTCCCCTCAGCCCTTGGCAACCACCAATTTGCTTTCTGTCTCTGTGGCTTTACCTATTCTAGATATTTTGTGTAAATGGAATCATATACTATGTGACCTTTTGTGTCTGGTAAAACACTTATTTTTCATTACAAATCATTTTTTTAAAAATCTTCTCTTTTCATTATGCTGGGAGAGCCAGGGTCCTATGGGGGTGTTAACATCTTTCTAATTAGGACCTCCAAGAAGAAAACCCCTTCAGGGACACCTGCTTCTCTGTAGTTGCTGGTGGGCTTCTCTTCCTGAGACAAACAGCAGTTGAGAGTTAAGTTACTTAATCCACCAGGTTATGGAGAACTCGACTTAACTCCTTCTGTCACGGGGCTCGATCCCCTTGGACACCCTCTCCCCACCCCTGACTTATGTCATTGTTCTCGTGGTCTGAACTCCAGTTTATCCCATCATCCAGATGAACCTGTAATTGATATTTTGGCACCGGGATAGCTAGAGATTATATTGCTAGCCTAAACCACAAAGCATAGTCTCTCCCAAGGGGAATTAAATGATACCAGCCATTGAAGATGAAAATTTGAGGAATACTTTACACTGTCATCTCTTGGGGAGGCTGATCACACCCGTCCCTCCTCCCTCCTCTCCTCGGTGAAATGGAGGCTTCTCGGGGAGGGCTCTGGGATGCAGACAGCACAGGCTTGAAATGAGATTCCTCTCTCCGTCTGCCAGACGTAACCCAAGATGGTTGCAAAGACGAGGCTGGCAGAGAAATGGGAAACTGGATGGCAAACAAGGTTCCGAGGGCACCAAAATGCTAGTTAAATCCTTTTGT